TTCCTCTTCTCTTTGCTTCAGTACGTGATGACTAGACGTGCAATTCCTGTGGTATCTGAAGCCTCAGTGAGCGAGACACTGCAACGGTGCCCTTCCAAAGGGCGTGCTGACACTTTGCGTCTTCATGCTTTCCTCTTCTTCTTTGCTTCAGTACGTGATGACTAGACGTGCAATTCCTGTGGTATCTGAAGCCTCAGTGAGCGAGACACTGCAACGGTGCCCTTCCAAAGGGCGCGCTGACACTTTGCGTCTTCATGCTTTCCTAATTGTCTCCGTTGTTTTGCTGAAGTTGTCTTGTGTCTGGTTTGTCGCTGCTGACATGGTGAATGGCTGCTTTGTTTGCATTTTTTTCTTTTTGCCTCGCTTGGTCGCCTCATTTCATGGTTTTTGGAGTTCAGTAAAATTATTGCTAGCTTGAATGGTGGATGTCCATGACAACGGCAACGCCTTGTTGGACAAAAGTTGTGTCTAACTGCTTTGCGTTGTTTTGTACGCTATTTCTCGTGGCAACAACCGGCCTGGCGGAGGGACAGCTTGTGGGGACGTCGACAATACACAGCCTTTATGCCGAGGACGCAGCGGTGGTGGAGCTTGCCGGCACGAATTGGTCGCAGGTTCACCGCAGTGCCCCGCTTTGCCCATGGATAGTGCTGTTTTACAGCAGCGTCTGCGGTCACTGCAGGGCCATTGCACCCACGTACCGCACGTTTGCCACGAGGCTGGAGGACTGCCACGAGGAGGATCCGTTAAGGACGCTCACGGCCGCCGTTGTGAATTGCGTCAGTGAGACCTCAACATGCCGCGAATATGCTGTGTCCGCTGTTCCGAAGCTCCTCCTATTCCTTCCATTGAGCTGCCCCAGTGGAACAGTCGAGACATGCAACGCAACAAAAATGCGGTGGGTTGCTATGGACAGCAGCGAGAAGGGATTGGGATGGCTGCGGCGGGAGGCGCGTAGAGAGATTAAACAAGTGCTAAGAGATGATGGATCCATGGTGGAGCGTTGTGTCAGCATGCGCCATGCACTGTATGTTGAAAAAAATATGCGGTTACACCAAGCGTCGGACGCACCAGCCCCATTTGTTGAAACGAGGCAGCTCTACGCAACGGACATTGCTGGCGCCTTCTTTTTCACGATGTGGCACGAGGTCTTGCTTGTGGGCCTTGACTCTCCAAAGCCTCTGCAGGCATTGAAAAATTTTTTGCGTCTCGTCGAACATGCCCTTGCCGGACTTGGGGCAGGAGCATTACTTGAGGCGGTGAAAAACATTGAGGGAGGAGGAGACTTTTCCGTCACAAGCTGGCAGAAGACTGTAAATGCTGCACGTATTCCGTATGAGGGAGATCCGCATGAGGTGCGGTGGCGCACATGCAGCGGCTCCTCCCCAAAATACCGCGGTTTTCCATGTGCGATGTGGCTTCTCTACCACTCCCTTACCGTCAACGTTCCTGCTGTTGCTGCAGACATCAACCCATTGGAAACGATTCAGAATTATGTGCGTTATTTCTTTTCCTGCGTGAAGTGCCGCCAGCACTTTGAGCAGTTTAATTTTAGCCGGGATGAGGATCCTGTTTTGCAGCTCTGGCGAGCTCACAATGAGGTGAATGCCCGACTTGCGGTGGTGAAGGCGGGGGCCGACCCTTTTGTGCCGAAGCGACAGTTCCCAGACTCTGCACTCTGCAGCACCTGCCACGATGCATCCGGCGCGTTTCGGGAGGAGGAGGTCGTGAAGTATCTACGCAAATGGTACGAATGGGACCCCGATATGGTTGGACGGCGGGTCAGCGGAGGCTCCACCACATTGTCCCCGCTTGAGGAGAGGACACTGCTGACCAACGGCAATGCAGAAACTTGGAATGAAAAGAAGGTGTGGCAGGATCCCCTTCCGCTTCACGTGTTTCTCACGTTGTTCGTTATCGTTGCACTTGTAAGTGCCGGTATTCTCCGCACTCGGCGAAGGTACATGGGGTTGTTTCTGCACCACCGTATCCGCCAAAAGTAACATGGAAACATTACAGGCAGAGAAGTCTTTGTACGCACGTGAAGATTTTTTGGTGTGCCACCGACTTTCCTCCTAAGCTCTACTCGTAGTGAGTATCTCCATGTAGTAAAGGGATAGTTTGGGGTTTTCTGGAAGAATTTTTAATGCCCTTTTTTTTGTGTGTGTCTTGTTGGATTTCCTTGTCATTTACTCTTTCTTTGTTGCTGTGCGCCTGCTTTGATGCTTCCGCTCCCTTTATATATGGAGGTTTGCATTTGGCGCACTCCTCCCCGTCTATCGGTCTCCCAAGCGGGGTATATCTCGCCCGCACAACTTCTGCGTCACGTCCTGTTATCTTTATTGCGGAGGTCCACAGGACGTATGTTGCAACTCTGATAGAGTAGAAGGAGGGAGGGAGGGAGGGGGGGGGAAGTTATTTGTGACGGAGGCTTTGTGCCCTGCGTGATTCGGCACACACTATGAGTTGTTTCAAGGAGTGCATTGCTATTATCAACACACATAGTTGGGGCGAGGGAAGCCCCTTCAGTGTTTGCTAGCGCGCTTCAGCAGTATCTTGACAGAGCAGGCATCATACATCACAATGTGTGTATGCCGGAGAAGAACATTCTGAATGCTCTTGAGTTGCACGCAGACACGGCAGATGCTATTGTTGTCTGTGGTGGTGACGGGACTCTGAGTTCTGTCGTGAATGTTCTGGCGACCGCACGCCATGAGTTGCTTCTTAAAATGCCGATTATCCCTGTGCCCTGTGGGCTACAGAACTCCATTGCAGCGTCACTTGGAGTGCTTTCGGCTGAGCGCTCCGTGTCTGCCTTTCTGCTGGGGCGTGTGGAGCCCATTCCAGTTTGGGAGGTGCGTGTCAACGGGGCTCTGGTGCGGTATATGGCGTCCTACATTTCTATCGGCGTCTGTGCAATGTGTGTCCGGCGCCTGCATGACCTGGATGCCGTGGGTGAGAGCTACGTGGCTCTGCTCACCGTTCGAAACAAATACAAAGTGAGAGCCTTTTACACGGCGTTGCGGAACGAAGTGGTTCCATGTACCGCCGCTCTGACGACGACGACGAAGTCCCACATGGAGATTGCACTGTCGGTGAAGCTCTTCGTGGCCTCACAGATGCCGTTGCAGCACGCCCGTTACTCCCTCATGCCATGTGCAACCTTTAAGCACGGCACATTGGGCGTCACGTATGCCACAGAAGCGGCGTCAAGGCTTTGTCTTTGGCATTTACTGAGCCGAGAGGCCGCAGAGGGCGTAATTATAAATGAGGATGGTGTCTGTGAGTGCCCTTGCGTGGGTGAACTGGACTGCTGCATCAAAGGCGTGTCCAGTGAAGAGGCAGAGGACACCTTGCCAAGGGTTCTCATGATGATGGACGGGGGGGCGGTGTATTTGCTTCCAGGTTCAAAGGTGTCGGTGCGGCGAGCGTCTTGTGAGACACTTTTCGCGTCTTGTTGAAGGATGACTCAGCTGCGTGAGTCGTTATTTGGCTTCGCGTCTGCCTGTATGCTGTCGTACGATGGCCGTGTGGGGCTGCCTTTTGCGACAGACTCTGTGGTCTGACTCTCGGCAAGGGAAACAGGGTATGCGTGTGAATATCTTTTTTTTTTTTTGGTCTTTGGACACCCGTTAGGTGGCTAGGAGCAAGAGAGCAACGAAGGAAGAGGGATTGTGGCGGGTGCTAAATGGAACAAATTGGGGAAGGCGGCGGTGGCGGCCATCATCATGGTCGCTTCCGGCACCGGGGGCAGGAATACGATGAGTATGTGCCTCGAAGGAAGATACACGGTCAGCGCTGTGTTGACTTTTATTCCTCCGCCATTCGGCACGTAACAACGCGTCTGCTGCATCGCAATACTCCATACGGTTGGCATGTGGAGCCGCACCCGTACTATTCCAAGGATATGCTTCCTGCTGCACAGACTCCGTTCAATCCGAGTACCGCGTTGTGTACACAGTGGGTAAACACATCTTTTCACCCGGACTCGCGTTCCGGGCACACACGTGTGCCGCTCATGAATCTGAAGTGGGCCCCCAATGGTCGCCGCCTGTTGTGCTCTACCGGTCGAGGTGAGTTTCTGCTCTTCAACGGGCACTCCTTTGGTCTGGAGGTGAAAACGGTGGCTCACGAAGATCATCGGCCATGTCGGGCGATAACATGGGGAAACAGTAGTAACCTAATCATAAGTGGCGATGACGCGGGTATGGTAAAACTTTGGCTCTCTAATTTTGTTCTTGTGGCGGTGTATAATTCCCACCACCGAACCGTGCGGGAGATCACCTGGGCGCCACTGGAAGGTAAGTTCTGCACATGCGGGCAGGATGGGTCTGCGCGTGTGTGGGATACGAATGCGGTGGGTACCAACCCGCAGAATGTGAGGGAGGAGGTGAAGCTAGAGGGTCACGGTGGGGACGTGGTGTCGGTGGACTGGCACCCCTTCCATTCACTGATCCTTACGGGAAGTCAGGATCGTGATTGCCGGTTGTGGGACCCACGGACCGCATCACGTGGAAGCATAGCCGCCTTGCAGGGCCATGCGCAGTCGGTGAACTGTGTGCGGTGGAACCCAAGCGGGACAACGCTGCTTTCCGCGTCGAAGGACTGTACTGTAAAGCTCTGGGATATCCGCATGGTGCAAGAAATTGCCTCCTACGAGGCCCATTCAAAGTCTGTGGAACGCGTGGAATGGCATCCGCAGGTACCAGACCTGTTTGTTAGTGCAGGGGCTGACGGCAACCTCATGTACTGGCTGGTGGACGCGTACGAAGTCAGCCAGGGGCAGGGTGGGTTTTTGCACATTATCCACGAAACAGCCATGGTGGAAAATGCCCACGATCGGTTCCGTGATGTTGCAAATCCGGTGAATGCCATTGCCTGGGATCCGTTAGGTGGTCTTCTTGCCTCTTGCTCCAGCGAGGTAAAATACTGGCATCGCAACAAGCCCGGGGCGATGGAGGAGAAGGAGCGTGGTGAGGAGGACGACGTTTTTGACATGACGGGGCAGCTGTAGCCTCGTGGATCGCCTGCGGCAAACGCAGTCGTGTTTGAGGGACGGTGAAAGCGGAGGGGGAAGGGTGATAGCCGCGGAAATGGACCTGTTTGTTTGTTTCTTTTTAACACCCCTCTTTCGTGGTTGTGCTGTCCATATCTTTTTTTTTTTTTCAATTGCCTCGTTTGTCTGCTGCGTGCCACAACACCTTCTTGCACACATTAGGCAATGGACGGGCGGTGGTTTGTGTGGAGGGCTACCGCCGTCTGCTACAACCCGCACGACCCGTTGACTTTCCTCTTCGCCCTGCTGGCGCTGCTCCCCATCGTTGTGTTGCTCTTCCTTGCGGGACTCGCAAGTGCACCTTCCTCCCGGCAGCAAAAGGCATCTCTTGTGCTTCTCTTAGGGCTCGTGTTGAATGCGGGCGCTAATGCCTTCATGAAGCGATGTATTCAAAGTCCGAGGCCACGCCACCCGGCGAGCGGGGATTTGAACTGCAGCACCCCGAGTGCTCACGGGATGCCTAGTGATCACGCCCAGTTTATGTTTTTCTTTATTACGTGGCTGATGCGCCGGGCCGCGTTGACGGGGCTGCCGATGGCTTTGGAAATGCGGGCCTTCTTGCTTTCTGCAGCTTTTGCAGTATCATACGGTCGGGTGTATAATAACTATCACTATCCCATGCAGGTTATTGTGGGAGGCCTCATTGGTGTCACGAACGCATACCTGTGTACCACGCCTTCAGGCGAGGCCATACTGCATCAGGCAGCTGTGGCCGTATCGCCTGTTAAGAATTTCTGCACGGGCTGGGTACAATTTCTTGTTTGATTAACTTTGCTTTTTATCCTTAAAAAAAAAACTATTGAGCTTGTGGTATTTCTTCCTCATGTAGGATTGCAGTACATTCGTTTGTTTGCCTTGTACTGGTACTGCGGAATCTTCGGGTTGCCTTGTTCTTTTTTTTTTTTTTTGGTTCTTCTTTTTTTTTTCCTTAGTCGTAGTCTAACGCCTGGTTACAACGCCCACTTGCGCCGGTGTTTTTTTTTTGTTTGTGTGTGTGTGTGTGTGTGTGTGTTCTTGCTTAGCTGCCAGGCACCACTGCCCACAGCTGCAGTGTAGAATAGTGGGCGGGGTGTCGGCTGCGTCATGATCTCCGCGGTGGAGGCCATGCGGTACCTCGCCTCTGGCAAAGGCGTGTTTGACTCCATCTGCGACCTCATCATCCGCCCTCCGAGGGCGGAGTACGATCCAGAGACGGATTTGGGTCCCTCGCTCTTCCGCATCAGCAACGACTCAGAGGTTTTCACGCGCACTGACCTCACCCTTACGGACATGCGTGGGATGGATGTGAGGTGCTCGTGGTTTCACCCCACGGCAGCCCGTTCTCAGCCCTGTGTGGTGTATCTCCACGGCAACTGCGGCTCCCGGTTTGATGCGTTGGAGGCGCTGTTTCTCTTGCAACGCGATTTTTCATTATTTGCCTTTGACGCAACGGGGAGCGGTCTGTCCGATGGCGAGTTCATCTCGCTTGGCTTCTACGAGCGGCAGGATTTGGCGGCGGTCGTAGATTTTCTTCACGGCCAAAAGACGGTTGACGGAATTGGCCTGTGGGGACGTAGCATGGGGGCAGTGACCTCCATCATGTATGCCGCGAAGGATCCCTCGATTAAGTGCATAGTCTGCGATGCGCCTTTTTCTACGCTGCGTCTCCTCATAAAGGATTTGGTAAAACGCAATGTTTCAAAACGATTCCCGATGAAGCTTGTGGACAGCATTGTGGATCGCATTCGCAAGCGTATTACGAAACGAGCCGCTTTTGATATTGATGACTTGGATGCGCTGAAGTATGCGTCTGAGTGCGTGGTGCCGGCGTTTATATTTCACGGTGAAAGCGATAACTTTGTATTGCCGAGGCACTCCATTGCGGTGTCCAACACGTTCAAGGGGCCGTGTCTGCACCATCTGGTGAGCGGCGGCCACAACGATGAACGCGGCGAAGACGTGCGGGAGGTTATCGCCCAGTTCTTGACGCTCTACCTGGTTTACAAGCCGCAGGGGGAGCGGGACCTTAAGGCAGGACCCCAGCCTGTCTTTATAAAACGGATTCAAACGGAGGCGGCGGCGACGAAGGAGGCGGAGGAGCCGTCAACCTTATCGGGCAGAGAAAACGCCACCGCTGCCCCCGAAGACGACGATGAGGATGATGGGGACTCGTTCATTGACCAGACAAATTTGTCCCTGCTGTCACCCATACGTTTCATGCAGCCGCCCTTGTTTGCCGCCTCTTCATTGCCAACATCTGCGAGTGAGGAGACCACTCCAGAGGGAACACAAAACGCATCTGCATGAGCTAACCAAGCCGTATTTGTCCATTCATGTATCCGGCTGTGGATCTATATACCGGCATGTACTGCGACAGTTGTGTGAGTGTGTGCGTGTGTTTGTGTGCATCGTGAACGGCGGTGGAGATGTCGCTTTGCGCGCACTGCTTCAGGGCGACAGCAAACATTTTTTTTTTTTTTTCTGCAGTGTGTTGTTTTCCCCTTCTTTACTGCTTTCCGCCTCCAATGGAGGATTCCATTTTGGGGGTTGTGCGAACGGTGGCGAGTGAAATATGCTACTATGCAACAATCAGAATGACCGCAGGCCGTGAAGTGAGGGATGGCGTACAATTCGTGCGGACACTGTGATAGGATCGCCATGAAGAGGGACAGATGGAGGGATACAGGGACATGCAGTGTAGCCTCTGTAAAGGCGTGGCCTTTGATATTTTGTGTCGGTTTTCCCGGTACGTGTTGCATGTCACGCGACAGTTCATGTATGCCGCCTGCTCGCGTCACCGGTGTGTTTCTTTAAAGGCCTCTCTCGACACTTTTCTCGGTGCTTCATTGCCTTTGTTCATATATCTATCTATCTATCTATCTATATATATATATATATAAGTATACATATATAAGTATACATATATAAGTATTCTCCTTTTCTTTTCGCGTCATTTCTTTGTCGTTGTTTTTGCCTCGATGTGTTCCCCTGCACTCGTCCTGACTCTGACCTGACGCTGTCCGTAGGTGTGGACACTATGGCTTGCCTCCTTGCCGCAACGTCTGCTCAGCGGCAAGAACTATGGCCCGCACTCTCGCCCCCTTTTCTTTTTCTCCTTGTTTTTCCTTCTCTTTCTTCGTCATCTCAGCTCCTTTGCTTTTTTTTTTCTTGTTTTGCCGTCTTGTGAGTCTCCGTGGTGTCTGTGCGTGTTCTTGGAGTGCAGTAGTGGGGGGAGGGCGAAGGGCCCGGCGTCTTGTGAAAATGCCACAGGATCGCTTTGAGGTTCAAGCGGTGTGCGCGGATGGGTCCGCAGCAATTGACCGGCTTGGCTTTTATCTGCTGCGCGAGACACCCCTACCCGCACCTGGCGGCCCGTTGCCGAGCGGCGATCGGAGCGCTCAGAGGCGGGAGGAGGAGTTTTGGATAAGCCGTATTTGCTGCTACATGCGGCTCTCGCTCGAGTTGGAGCGACATCAACGCACAGTGGGCGACTGTGAAGGCCGCATTGTGGAGGAGCAGGCGGCGCTTGAACAGGCGCAGTGGCGCGTATATCGTCAAATGCAGCACCGCATGTATCGTTTTGGCGGCCTCCAGCATGAAAGTTTGCGCCGCTTTCTGTGGGGTTTTTTGACTGGGTCGTTGCAACGCTCGGAGAGTGTGGTGCGGGCCCACCATGCGATGTACGTCGGGCTCACGAGTTCACCCCCGGATGAGGAGACGGTTGAGGCAATTAGCCGAGACTTGAGCCGCACTTTTCCGACGCACTGCCTTTTTGTTGGCGCGGGGTCAGTGGGCCAGGAGGAGCTGCGTCGCGTTCTCTCTGCGTACAGTCGTTTTGACCCGGCCGTGGGGTATTGCCAAGGCATGGCCTTCATCGTGGCGCTGCTGTTGCTTCACGCGCCGGAGGAGGAGGCGTTTGGGATGCTGCTGCATCTCTCATACTCACCGGCGTTCCAGATGCGGGAGGTGTTTCTCCCCGGGCTTCCGCGACTGCGGCTCTTCCTGGCAGTGCTCCGCCGCCTAATTGAGCGTCTACTGCCGGCGCTGCACCGCCGTTTTGTCGAGATTGGCTTAGATGTCTTTTTCTTCGCCCCGCAGTGGTTTCTCACCCTCTACACGTACCAATTTCCCCTCGACTTTGTATGTCGCCTGTGGGATCTCTTCTTCGTGGATGGCTGGAGGGTGATGTTTCAGGCCGCCATTGCCACCCTGCACTGGGAGCAGGAACAGCTGCTTTCGCTTGACATGGAGGCGGCACTGCTGTGGATTAAGGAGTGTCACGAGGGAAAATCAGCGGAGGAGATGGTGCGCCGCACCCGCAACGTCCCCCTCTCAGAGGCAGAGTTTCGCTCTGTGCTTCGCGCCGAGGAAGATGCGGCGGCTGCGCGCGTTGGCTTCGGCGAATGATTACGATTCGCGTGACTGCAACAAGGTGAGTGGTGCGAGGGAGCAAAGCCCCCTCCCCCCCTCCGCAGCTTCAGGGGCTATGCGCGTTCATTGCCTTCCTTTTTTCTTTTTTTCTTTTGTTTCAATTCCGTGTGACCCTTGCTGCTTTTGGGTGGCTCACCTGTCAACGCATGGAAACCGACGTTTGTCTCACCCCCTTCATGTCCCTTTTGAATTTTTTGTTTTTTTCTCTCTCTCCCTGCGTGCGTGCGTGCGTGTGCGATCGGGCCTGGGGAACAGAAGTATTTTTTAATTGCAGGTTTTCCACCCACCGGTCAATAGGAGAAACGACACAAGGATGGGGAACATGCTACCGAAGCCGATCTTAAGCAAAATTGTTGATAGAGTGGGCAATTACCGCATCGGTGCGGCCTGCGTGTCTGTGAACGGCTATCGCCCAAGCATGGAGGACGCACATACAATGGTGTTAGACGGCGGCGTGGGCCTCTTTGGTGTGTTTGATGGGCACAACGGTGGCGGGTGCAGTGAGTACATCGCACAGAACATCCCGGAGAAGGTGAAGGCGATGGACGGTAAGTACGACCCGGTGGATTTTGAGCGACTCTGTGTGGGCTTGGACAACGACTTTATGCGAGACGTCGGCGATGCAAGCGGCACTACAGGCACCTTTTGCCTCGTTCTGCAGGACTACACCACCATTGTCTGCAACGTGGGGGACTCACGGACGATACTAACGCGTGCCGGAAAGATGCTGTTTGCCACTGAGGACCACAAGCCAGCCAATCCTGATGAACGTAACCGCATCGAGGCCTGCACGGGATGCGTAATTAGTGGCCGCGTTGACGGTGACCTTGCCGTCTCCCGCTCGTTCGGTGACAGCTCGTTCAAACGCAACGATGCAGGGGACTACAAGGAACAGAAGGTGATTGCCGTGCCGGATGTCACGAAGTTTGCCTGTCAGCCGGGCGACATCATTATCCTCGCCTGCGACGGCGTCTTTGAGGGATCCTTCTCAAACGAGGAGGTGGTGAAGTTTGTTTACGGGCAGTTGCCGAAAAGTGCGGATTTGGCAGTCGCCGCGGCGCGTGTGTGTGATGAGGCCATCCGACGCGGTAGTAAAGACAACATTTCATGCATGATTGTTCGGCTCTCTGACGGCATGTCGCCTGTAAAGGCGTATGGGGCGCATACGTTTGTGCCAGGCCCTCCCTACACACGCACCCATGAGGCCTCGCGAGGGGCATACACGGCAATGGCGCAGCGGATGGGGTTGACCGTCGCGGATGCTTTGATGAAGCGATATGCGTTGTTAAAGGCGTACGAGAATAAAACGCTTTCATTGATGCCACCAGTAGAGCAGACGGCATTTGAGATGAGTGACGAAGCGGACGTTGAGACGGAGAAGATCTTCTTCGGCCGAGGGCCGGCCCCCGGCAATGAGGCGGCTTTTTTCAATTCCTTGGCGGATCAGGGGGGAATGTAGCCCGAGGCCATGGAAAGGCGTGCCCGCAAAAACGTGACCATCATGTAACTCCCGCGTAGGAGCAGACGTTGATGTTTTTCTTTTTCTTTTTTTTTTCTTTTTTTTGCTTTTTTGTGGTTATGATTCATACACTTATCATCACTCTCCGTGTGTACATATGGGCGGGGGAACAACTCCAAGCGGGCGGGGTGGGGGGTGTGGAAGGAAAGAAAAACAAATGGGAAACCAAAATACGAAAACAACAACAACACACAAATGCAAAGGACGGGGGAAACG